TTTTTTTTTTTTTTTATCACACGATATACATAATTTTCCCGCTGATCATTTTATTTTCGTGAACTTTGATCTCAACTTTTCATTGATTTTAAATCGATTGTGTCCAGAATATTGTTTTCATTTTTGTGAAAATCTTGTTATTTTTATTAAGCTAGAAATCACCGAGTGCTACGTTTGACGCAAAAGCAATGGAAAACTTCATAGTTCAACGATCAAAATTTCGAGCAACTGTGTGCTCCATCGAAAGTACACATAATGTACGAGTTTAACAGAGAGAGATTCAAGGCTGACAGGTTCACGAGCACTTTGGACTTAATGACCTAGAATTTTATTAATTTTATTATTCGTGGAAGTTCAATCACGTTACCTCTACGAATAATTTTCCGCGCGAGTACGTAACGAAAGTTACAACCTAAATATACAATGAAATAAACTGAAACTTTGTCTCGAATATTTCGCCTGTTTTACAACAATTCCAATTTTCTTCGAAGAAAGTAATTTTCAAACTTCGAATAAAATCGCGAACGAGGAACAAATGAAATAACGACGACAACGTTCCGCGACGATCCGCTCGGTGAAGGATACCATAACGCGATTATCGTTTCCAGTATGCGAAACTGCCGAGTCTCTGAAAAGCAGATTTGCTCGAGGAAATATGTAATCATGTTGATGCCCGGCAGCCAAGGAAAATTCGATCAGAAGTACCATTTCCATCGTGGACATCGATCCTCGATTAAAGAAAAAAACTCGACGACGGATATGAAATTAGAAGAGACTCCGTGCGTATTTCTACTTCGACAAGAAAATACTCTTTCTCTTTGTAAGAGTTCTAAGAAGAGATTGTGAAAGTGGAAAATTGTCGAAAATTGCTGAAGAGGCAAAGTTCTTCAGAGAGAGAGAGAGAGAGAAGAAGAAAAAAAATGAAACAAGATAAACATTAGGATCTGGATCTTGAGAGGGGGAAAAACTTGGAACGAACTAAATTTTCGCGTTTCTTTCTCTCTCTCTCTCTCTCTTTCGCAGAAATTCCAAATTTTACAGTTGAAGAAAATATCGATGATCGAGAGAGACTCCGGATAAAAAAAGAATCACCACCGTTGTTAATTTTCTAATTCATTAGAAGAATCAAACAATCCCGAGTAACGATTGCTTGAACCTCCAAGAAGATTCGACATTTCGAAACGCAAAAACCAAAGTACAACAATCTGATTTAATAATCTGAAATCTAGAAGAACAATCCGATATCGATAATCTCTGTCATCAATCAGCAATACGAAACAACACTGCTTTTATCAGCCTGATCGACGTGTCAAGGCGTTTGACAAGATAACAAACGCGTCGATCAGATCACGAAGCTTTCAGACGCGAGTCACGGATGGAGGAGAGAGGGATCTTCCATATTTAACCGAACTTGAGGAAGCAAGTTCTATGAATAGAGAAGTATCGAGCCGTTTATTTGCAAACATCGCAATGATTATTTCAATCGTGGGTATAAATACGTCGGCCAAATTTTCCAGATGGAGGGATCGCGAAACCATTCGCTTGAAATCATCGTTGCATTCGCTGCGAATTGTGAAGTCCTCAATTTCGATTTGCTGCTCCGGTTGTTTGCGATTTCGATGCTTTGGAGAGGGGAATGGCGTTTCTTGCGCCAGAGATTCATGGTGTTTTACGCAGAGTCAGCGACAGATAAACTTCCCAGTGTTCATTCGCAACAATTCACGCGGTGAACCCGGGCAAATCTAGTTTTAGATCAACTTTTATCGTCTCTGACTCGCGGTTAAAAGACTTAAAAGTACGTAGCTGTTCATTCTAAGAGTTATTACTTCAATTTTATAATACTATTTTGTTCGTGGTATTTATTTGTATCGCAGGAGGACTCCTCATGTTATTTTAGTATTCGTCTCTTCGTAATTTTCTCGTCATCATCGACGAAAATACATTGTGTAATGGAATATCCATGGAAATGAGGTCGCGTTATAATATCTCGTTTGTCTGTGTGTGTATGTCTGACAGAAGGAATCGATTGATCCAATCCCAGAACCAGGATTAAAGGCTATTTAAACCAATCAAGATACGGAAATTAAGAGATTAAGACTAATTTTCGGAACATCTTTCGCCTACGCGCCTACGACCGAGAGACTGAAACGTTCAAGTGTACTAAATTTTACTATATTCGAGGCTACGAGAAATATGTATAAAATAAAAAGAACTTATGAACGGTATAATTATGGTAGTAATTGAGAGCTCAAAGATTCTTCTAAGCTCAAGGCCAGTAGCTTCTTTTATTGTACCATTGGAGTAAAAAGTTCGTTATTATGCTAATAATCTTTTTTAGTATCATCATTTATAAATTGCAAATATCTAGAATAATCTTCTTTTTCCTTTAATGACACATTTTGTGTTACATAATTTAATTAACAGTAGTGTGGGAATGTAATATAGAAATTAAGTTCAAGCAAATTGCACCACCATAAATCACTAAAATATGTAACACGGTCAGAAAATAATGATTGCATAAAATAATTTGAAAACCCGGTGAAAACAAACAAGTTAAATTTCTTTCTTAATATTTTATAAATTGAAGAATTTGGTCATTCAAAGATTTATTCATCGTTAATAATTTGATTTGATTTGTCATTTATGTAACTATGAATGCTAGTTTCGATTGTTACAAAGAAGAAGAAAAATCATTTGTTTCTAACATAATAATAATAAACTTGATATAATTACAAAGCAATAAACAAGTAACCGCGGATTTTTATACAACTTTATACGGATTTATTTTAAACATGCAAGAACACAAGAATCGTAAAATCTCGAAAGTAGAGCGTTTAACGTTGTAACGTTGTTTTCACAGTACAAAATGTTTCCTTTTTTTTATCCAAATTTCTAACAATACAATTATCCATATTTTCACAAAAAATGTAATGTTTGAAAGCGAGCTTCTCATTCTACGGAATCAGCCATTGCTATTTACATTGCTTAGTATCTGTTCGTAGATGATGTTTCAATCAAAGAAGTAGAAACCACCACCGTGATTTTTATCAACGTTAACAAATACGAATAATCAGACCTGAAAGAAGCATCTGTGCACCAGTCGAAATCTCATACACGTTAAATCATCTTCAAGTTCCAAACTTGAGCAATAGTATTGCCAAATAATCTCGAAAGTACACCTTTACATTTACATCTTGTATGAAACTTGATCTCGTACAAATTTATAATATACGAAAGAATATATTCCATCAATTGAAATAAAAAAAAAAAAAGAAAAAATACGAATTCTATTACGGAAAAAAAAAAAAAAAAAAAAAAGAAATACTTTTTTCATCGGTGATTGATAAATGAATTTACGTTCGCAGAAGTTCGAAAGATCGCGCGAAAATATCCAGAAGCTGCGGGGAGAAAGACGAGTGGAAGAAATGGCCAGTCGTTGGCAATCCCGATCCAGCACCGATTCTCACTATCGGGACAGGACAGGGGACAGAATGGTGATGCCGAATGGCCCTGCCCTACCCTATCCTGACCCAATAATGCAAATCGGGAACAGCCATCTTGCAACGCTGCTGGCTGGGGAAGAAGCGGAAGTCGTGTTCACAGCGGGTGGAACGTCGATTTCCGGTTGGACTGATGAAATCCTCTTCTTGCTTGGACCTCGAGCCTCGAGTAAGTCCGATTCTCACTATCGGGACAGGACAGGGGACAAAATATACCCGCCAAAACGGCCCTGCCCTGCCCTATCCTGACCCAATAATGCGAACCGGGCATGATCTCTGATGAACAATGGACACAGAGACATCCGGATCGTCCGAGTGTGACATAACGAACTGTTCCGAACTCTTATAATTTGCGCGAGCTGTATAATTTTTATTGATTGAATTTTTGCTTGTTTTTTTTCTCCCTTGCATAATGGAATGTTGTTTGTCTGAACTCTTTTGGATTTAGCGATTTATACCTTTACGAATCGAATTTCATCGATTTCTCTCGCAATAAGTATCGTCTTTCGTTCAAATAGCATTAACGAATTAACTCGTTAATTCTTTTTTCGTTGTTTAAATTTGTTTGTTAACAAGAGCTGTCAAACGAGAGAAACTTAGTGAGAGAAAGACAGCATGAAACGTGCAAGAGAATTTGTTTATAAATAAAAGAAGATATTGCAAATTCCTTATTCTCGCAAGCAGAATTCAGAATAAAAATAGAGATGCGCTCTTGACGTTTAAAAAGACCATTCTTTGAAAAATACTTGCAGTGACACACTTTTTTTTTTGTATAATAATAATACAGTTAAGAGATATCGAAGATTATAATTTTTCGGTGGTCGATGATAGTGGCCTGTTTTTTTTTTTTTTTTTTTTGCTGCGATTAGCTAAATTATAGTACATGTTACACAGCCTGGTGTATCATTACGCCACGTAATTACTTCCCCTTGCCAACGAAGAAAATTCAGTTTTAAAAGAACGTCAATTTAGATTCGTTTGGAATTTTAAAATATTTCTTAGATAAATAGATAAATGAAATTCTGCAGAATTCTCCTTTGTTTTTTCGAATTATAATCTAGAGTTCTAAACTTGGGATCTTTCCTCCTTTTAAAATGTTGCTTTTAATACGACTATAAAATAACTCTGGTGATACTTCACATTCCCACAATGAAGAAGAATAAACTTCTTCCTGTTTGAAAATTGCATCTTGGATCCCTTCACGAACTCGCAGATTTTTTTGAAAAAAATTCTACATTTTTTTTTTCTTTTTGGTCAAACTTGAGAATTTCTCTGCTTCATCTTCTATTTTACTTTAGGAAAATCTTTGATCTTCGACGAGCCACAAACTTTAGCCTGATACAAAAGAAAAAAGAAAAAAAAAACAGTAAAGAAGAATAAATTTCAACGATACGTGGATAAAACTGTATAGATTAAGTTTCCAAGAAATCACAGTTCGCTATTTGCATTTTGTAACACGACTCGCAACAAAGGAAAAACAAATATGTAAATACCACTTGTGTCACAAGTTGCGAAAATATTAATAAAGATGGAAATTAGCTGCAAAATATTCTGAGAAACATGGAAATTTTTCGCTCGAAAGGCGTGTTATATGCAATTTTCGCGACGTGACGTCGAATGAAATTTCGCAACGCTAAAACGATCGACGTTTCCCGCGAAACGGACAGGATTTCAATCATATTCGATAATTAATCGCTGTTTCAATTTGTTAAGGAGCTGGTCTCTGAATACTCGGAGAAAGCCTGGAGAAACAGAGCTCGGAGTTCGAGAGGGACAATTTGCATAACTACGATTCACGCCAGTTTCGAAAATTAAAATCGCGAGCAGCAGAGCTGAGTAAAATTAATATTAATTATCTGATTAATAATTAAGTTAATAATTAAGTACCTGTTTTTGTCTCATCTCAACGCGAAAACTTTGAACGTCCCCTCGCACCTTCTCTCATTTTTGCAAAATTAAACTTCCCTGCTGAAACTATTTTTTTCTACTGTGAAGCAGTGTGTCTGATTTTCTAATCTGTGTTCTG